AAATTCAGGGAGATCACTAATTTCAAACCTTCTCACACGATACTAAATTCTATAATCAGGTATATCAAATCATTTATGATAGAATAAGCAACATAGGTATAAATTACTCAGATTTAAATGTAATCAGTTAGTTTTGAAAATGGTGTAATAGCCGAAACCGGTCAACAATAAAGAAATATAGTGGAAAATAGACAAAAGTGTGTTTTTGTAGTGTATCCTCGTCAATCGTCAATCGAAGAAGTATTGAATTTTGGCTATAAAGTAATATGCATCGATATAGAAAATTGTAAATATCTTGAAAACGATCACCTCCAGCGTTGTTGAGGAGAAGGTGTGAGAATTAGGTTTTTTCATGAAAAGTACCAATAGTTTACTGTCAAGAAAGTTGGGGCAATTCGAAATAAATAATGACAGCATACGCAGCGCCTTCTAGATGTTACTTGAAAATTAATACGAAATTATGATTTCCCACGTCAAAAAACCCCGGGTACCGAATTTCGTGCAAATAACTTATTTTTTGCAAGAGTTATTTTCAAAAAGCGAACAAAAAAATTCAAATTTCAACACCCCGTATCTACGAAACAAAGCATTTTCGGACATAAGTTCATATACACTTTTTTTCTTAAAATACATCACTCGAATATTTCAACGTTACACCCTGTATCATCTATTGCAAATCTCACAATAAATTGGTACTTGATTATGATTGAAACATTATACCCAGCATGATTTCAATATACTATCTGGGTAATTTCAATCTCAGTTCATACAGGGCGTTCCAACGAAAACTTGACCCCCCTGTAAGTCAATTTTCATTTCTAGGGGGACTAATTCTGATATGGAAATCATACCGAAACTTCACCCCCCTGCGGTCAACAACTACCCCCTATTTTTTTCAAGGGCAGGAGGGGACGAGTGATACATCATTTGAAAGGTCTTTTGTCTTTCTATTACTTCTGTAGTTTTTTTTTCGAAATTGATTCATTGGTTATTGAGAAATTGAATGTTGAACGTTTAAAGAAAAACAGAAAATTCGCTGTCGCTCATTTTATTGAGGAATTTAACAAAAGTAATATTGATGGCAACACAATCAATGGATAAAATGTTCAAAATGACCTCCATCTAGTTCCATACTTTCGAAAGCGTTCCTTATATTATTGAAGATGTCGGGAGTCAGAAATCGGCAATCCCGAACAATTCTCTTTCGCAGGTCTTCGGTTTATCGTAATTATTTATTCATTTATGCATTTATTTATTAACGGCAATTTCAATTTTTTACAAGATAAATCAACAAGTTCACACTAATATATTTAACAGCAATCTAAGCTTGGTTCAAGGAAAAAGTATATGAAATAAAATTAAAAAAATCGTTAAAATAAAGAATTACAATCTTTTTACAGTCTTTTTAAATGTTTCCTAAGAAGAATTACAAAAACCAATATGATATCCCAGTTTATATACAGAGTACCTTAAAAACTAATTTTGAACACTTCCAAGCATATCAATATCCACATGATATGAAGAGCACCAAATTGTGGAATTGTATTCGATTATTGATCTAACAATTGAACAATATATGATTTTTATTGAAGTGAGAGATAATTCATTTGCAAATCTAAGAATGCAACCTAACATTTTTAGCGCTTCAGAAGTAATATTTGCAATATGGGGTTTAAATGGCATTTTTGGGTCGAGAGTGATTCCTAAATCTCTGATTGTGTTTGTTATTTTCAGTTCTGATTGATTTTGTATGGCCAGTTAATGGGATTTTTGTTTCGGAGAAAAGTAAATATTTGACATTTGTCTATATTTAATTACAGTTGATTTATATCACACCAGCGAACAAAGTTAGTTAAATCGTAGTGTAATAATTCTGTATCAGTTGGGTCATAAATAACTTCAAACATCCTCAGGTCACCAGCAAACAAAAGAAATTCACTATAAAGAATAACATCTTCCAAGTCATTTATAAATAGGTTGAAAAGGAATGGCCCTAAATGAGAACCCTGTGGTACACCCGATGAAACTGTGATTGAGGAAGATACTGAGATACCATATTTACAAATTGTACTCTGCAGGCTAGATAATTTTCAATCAATTTCAGAATGTTTTCTTGAATACCCAAAGCGTTTAGTTTATGTAACAAGAAATTGTGGTTTACTCGGTCAAATGCCTTTGAAAAATCTGTCTAAATAGAATCCGCCTGTTGTCTATTTTTGAAGGCATTTATTATACAGTTTTGATAAATTAGCAGATTTGTGCTGGTAGATCTACCACTACTGAATCCATGTTGTTGATTGATGATTATTATGTCTACAATCCCAAGTTAGCCTTTTTGTCATTAGGCTGTCTAACAATTTGGGTAATTTTGATTAATTACAGACTGTTCGATAATTTTTTATATCATTATGTGATCCACTTTTATAAATAGGTTTCAAAAAAACTGTTTTTCCAATAATCTGGAGAGATCAACGATTTCAAGGAAATATTGAATATCATGTGAATTGGTTTTACCAGGGTAAAAATAAATTTTTTAATTGGGAATAGCGTAATTCCATCAGGACCTAGGTATAGACAATTTCTCAGGTAATGACATGACTAAATCGATTATTTCTTTAATATCAACGCTATAATGACATATATCAACCGTCTTACTAAATTTATATTCTGGAACCGTCAATTGCCAAGTTTTTTATGTTAGTGTTGGTGGTTTGACTAATCAACAGAGAACTGCGGTAGCAGAAATTTGGTCAAACCACCAACACTAACATAAAAACTTTGCACGTCGAGTTGGGTGTCACAGCAATAGGTGGTTCCACTTATGTTTCACTTGCGTTTACGCAGCTATTTTTATCAAGTACTTTTCTGGTTTTTCACATTTTGTCTTCAATCGAAGACCGCCTGCCCGGTACTGACGATGCCCAATAGGCTGAAACAGCTGTCTACCGGTGGCTCTTGAATTGAAATCAATATGGGAATGATCAGAAAGTACTTATCTATTTATCTTTTGATTTATATGGAATTATTTTCCAGCAGCTTGACTGCATTAACCTTTGTTAATGCAGTCAAGCTGCTGTAATGGATAAATGGAAATGTAATGATAAATGGAAATATTTATTTACTACATGTTGCTTAAACTGCTTTGTCTATAAACAGTTAACGTGTCCGTAACAACTATATACATCTGCGTCACGTCTTACTTTACTATAAACAAAAAACAGTTTGAACATTGCTATTTTATGTTATTGTTATCAGTGAATAACAGTTACCAAATAGCAGGTTAGAAAATAGCAACCCATATCTAATAGTTTATTATTTATGATTTCACAAACTTTATTCATGTTGTTATATTGACTAACTTCACTCCAGTCGGTGCTAGATATCAATGAATACATTTTTTTGGAAATTTTACTCAACTCAAACTGCAATTTTTATGTGCAAATAGCAGATTATTATTGCTACTAGTAAATAACAGTTACTGAGTAGCAGATTGGCAAATAGAACCCATCTCTGATATATCCAAGAAACACTTTATTGTCAGATTTTCACTTTAGTGTTTTTTAAAAATATCACGATAAAGTGTTCCATGAATACGTTATAGATTTTCGTCAAGTAGGTATCAGCCGATTCCATCACATACCATCCCTATGGTTCATTATTTGGGAATTCACGCACTTTATTGACGTCATTAGGTTCACTAACTTTACTTCAGTGGATAGTTAGCTTTTTCATATTTAACTCGAAACAGAACAGGAGTTGCACAATAACTGGTTTCAAAGAACAAACAAAATAAAAATTACGTAAAACATGTTATGTCTAATTTGAGAATAAAATAATACCCTGAAATTGTGGTTAATCAGTAGACCATTCTTATCATAACTCAAAACACGTGTATAAGTTATGTATGTATAAGAATTTAAGTATATGCTCATTCTGTACAGACATTTAGAGCTACACAATAACTGGTTTCAAAGAACAACAAAATAATAATGACGTGAAACATGTTATGTCCAGTTTGAGAATGAAATAAAACCCTCAAAATTGTGGTGAATTAGAAGACTATTCCCATATTTCCCTTCTTTATCATAACTCAAAATATGAGTATAAGTTATGTTTGTATAAGAATTCAAGTATATGCTCATTTTGTATAGACATTTAGAGCTACACAATAACTGGTTTCAAAGAACAACAAAATAATAATCACGTGAAACATGTTATGTCCAATTTGAGAATGAAATAAAACCCTGAAATTGTGGTGAATCAGAAGACCATTCCCATATTTCCCTTCCTTATCATAACTTAAAATATGAGTATAAGTTATGTATGTATAAGAATTCCAGTATATGCTCATTCTGTATAGACATTTAGAACTACACAATAACTGGTTTCAAAGAACAACAAAATAATAATCACGTGAAACATGTTATGTTCAATTTGAGAGTAAAATAAGACCCTGAAATTGTGGTAAATTAGTCGACCATCTTCATATCTCATCCCTGAAAGAAACCCTGCTTATTGGTGTCACCGACATTCATTTATATAATGACGCATTTGAAAAGCAATATGACTATTGTTGTTTTTAAAATATCTTCAACACATACCAGCAAGCATAGAGTTGAAAAGAATGGAAATCAGCTTCGCCTGTACGTGAAGATTTATGATCGGAGTTTCAGTATTGGTATGTATATATGTTTTAGTTCCAAGCATGCTCAACAAATGAAATTATATATAACTGGAAACATCGCGTGAACAACTAAATAAAGACTATTTCAGAATAAACCCCTTCTATTTTTGAGTTTTTTGCATGATTATTAAGCACCGTCTGAGAGCACGGTTGAACACCACTTCACCAAAAAATTTACTCACACGTAGAAATTAGCCTTTATCCCAGTTTCTCTATCTCTCTCTATGTACGTCTATGTGTCTGCTCTTTCATAATCGCAGTGAATCCTTTAACATTCAAAAGTTTCCGACTATTTACTGAAATTTATCTTCGTTAGGTGGTCTCCTTCTCTGCGCTTAGCGGGTGAAGGTGGTCAGCTCGCCGACTTCATAGATGGCCTTGGACCGGGTCAGCTCGTAGGCAGACAAGTGCTGGGAGCTCCCTCCCTTGGAGATATTCAGTTATCGCTGTGTTATCAGAAAGGATTTTTGGAGGTGGAAGTGATCCGAGCAAGGGGTCTCCAAGCCAGACCAGGATCCAAAGTACTGCCAGGTAAGTTACTGGCTGGCGTAAATAAGTCTTAACGGGACAAAGCTGTTTCTTTTAATGTTTTGAAGTACTTTGTTCTTGAAACAATAATTTTTGAATAAACATGAAAGACTGCAACTAACTCAATGATTGAATAAATCAGGTTCCTGAAGTCCTCTTTGATGAGACCTAGATTTTTTAATTAAATGGGATTTGAAATTGAAACCAGTCTGTAGTTTATCAATTGATATGACAGTAGTGACCATTGTACAAAAAAGCTATACAGAATATTCAAAGGCGAAAGTTGTATTTCTATAACTGGTATACATAGGTAGGTATATTCTTGTGAAATGATAGTGTCAATATTTTTTACTTCACCTTAAATACTATAAGATATTTTCGAAAATATTCAGATGCATTTCGATTTCTAAGGAATTCACATATTGACAATTTAATTCAAGCCTGAAATGTAATTGGCCCTCCGGAATGTAACGGGGCTTCGGGGGACAGGGCCTGACCAGCGCACACTGCAGTGAAAAAAAAATTAAATCGACCCGCTCGGAGGGGTCAGAGGCAAGGTGGTGGGGCCCATAACGATGATTTGCCTACCGACGACAACCCTGGCAATAAAAACGGACGTTTTGAGTGGACGCATGAGCTGAGGGATAGCCTTATGCATTGCTACGAGAGTAGTGAGCCCGCGCGAAGAAGGTACATGGCGAGATGAAATGCTCTGTGGTGTGAAACACATCCGGAGCATGCCGTCTTTTCCACCCAAAATCTTAGAGCGCCCGTACACGAGCCACATTTTGCGGTCGGATTGACCACACAATTGCAGTCGCGTTCCAACGAACTCAAGCCGCCCATAAGAAATACTGTACTACACGTACACGGGCGTTCACAAAAGTCAAAACGAACGTATGCAGTCACTTGCTGCTGATCTCCGCCGAGATGTCATCGCGGCATCTGCCGTACACTAACCCGTACGACTTGCAGTCGTACCCAACCGCGTACACCATGGTGTACTTTTTCTCATATTGGTCTCACAGCATTCAATTTTTGATGTCAGTTGCATCAACTGCAAGTGCGGTTTATATAACCGAAAGTCGGCCACATAAATGTGATTGGGTCAATCGCGAAGTACAGTCAACGTGACCACAATGTTGTGGTTGCTTCAACTGCAAATATGTGGTCCGTGTACGGCCGGACTTAGGGATAACGTATCCTATCTTCGGCGGCAGGGCTATATAGCTCCTTTCCAGCCTTCTAACGAAGTGGTAGAAGTGGCAGTTCTATCACCCGTTGGCACGGCTGGAGAGGAGACTCGCACCATACCACCAATGGAGACGACAATCAGAACACGCAGGGCGCTCCACAGAATTAGGCCCCAGAAGCCACAGGAACTGGCTTGTTCGGATGCGGAGGTTTATAGTTTTCTAACAGAAGAGGCTGACATCTGGCAAATCAACACCGCCGTGTAAAGCGTCGTCCAATCGCTTTCCGAATCGGAGGGACGGAATTCCGGCCTTGCAATTCGACAGATTGCACGGCGAGTACACACGATGGAGACTAAGATCACGTCGGCGAGACAACACGCGTCTCGTATCCAATGTTTGATGGATTACAGGGCGGCCAACAGACCTTTCACGCCCGCAGAGCGGCGGATAGCCGCCAAACTACGACATATCCATCACATTTTGAGTCAAGGCGTGCTGCTGTCCACCAAACAGCACTGCCTGGATAGGATACGAATAGTGGCTGCTAAGAAGTCACCTAGTGAGGCGAGAAAGAAGTATCGCGGAAAACCTAAGGTTTCGCGAGAAACCTTCTCGCTTATTCCAAGTGCCCCCAAGTGTTGTGGATAATCCGCCGACCGCTGATCAGGTGGAATCCTTCTGGGAGGATATCTATGAACACCCGCAGCCACTCAATTCAGACACTCCAGCCCTAGCGCAGTTCGAAGCTTTCAACAGAGAGCTTCGACAGCCTGAGCTCAATGAACTGCGCTACCCGATTACCACGGATGACGTTCTAAAAGCTCTTGTGAGTTCCAAGATTTTTGCTGCTCAAGGCCCAGATGGGCTGAACACTTATTGGTGGAAAAAACTACTGAGCACTCACCGCCATTTGGCTAGAGTTTTCAACTCATGGCTGAACGGAGAGCAGCCAATTCCCGATTGGTTTGTCAAGGGGCGGACCATTCTTATCTCCAAAGACGGAGATTTGTCGATTCCTAAGAATTACAGACTTTTAACATGCATCTTGTACACACGAATACTCAACGCAGTTGACCGAGTGTTCGAACGGATATATGAGCAGCGAGGGTCGAAGAGAGGAGTCACTGGATGTAAAGAGAACCTGCTCATCGATAGATGTGTAACGCAGAGCTCTATACAATATAAGCGCAACCTCTCTGTGGCCTGGATCGATTACCGTAAGGCATTTGATACAATATCGCATGAGCTCATCTTGCATTTGCTCAGATGCCTTGCGGTACCCGACAAAATAGTGAGATGCATTGAACAACTGATACCAATTTAGCGAACTCGCTTCACCATTACATCCGGTCAAGCCAGAGTCCAAACAGGATGAGTCACTTTCAGAAGGGGTGAATTTCAGGGCGATTCCTTCAGTTCCCTCCTCTTCTGCATCTCACTATTGCCATTATCCGTTGCGCTCAGAAATACTCGAAGGTATAACTGTGGCACCCCCGGAAACCGAAGGCACAAGGTCACCCATTTGTTTTATATGCCTCTGGAGAGAAAGATCTCCATCAGTCATTGTTGGCGAAACGCGCGTCGAGTGCAAAAATATCAGTTTGGTGTTAGGGCAAATGATCTCGAAACAAGTTATTCAACTTTTACACCAAAGGTTCCAATCTCATCGTTATTTAGAATGATACTGGATATAGCCTGTGAAGTCTTCAGGAGTTCGGATCCCCTTCTCTGCATTTGTCTTTAGGGCAGCTGCCTGAGTAGCTGATGAACTTGGTGTAGTTTTCGACACTGAACGAGGTGATCACAACTCTGTCACCAAGTTGGAACCCGTTCAACAAAAAGCTCATATAAAAACCGCAGAGATCACCTCACTTCTGCGGAAGTGTGTTTTGGATAATAATTTAAAAAATCGTTATTGTTACAGCTCCGTATGTCAAAGTATACCTCGTTAATGGAAAAAAATGTGTAGCAAAGGCGAAAACTACCACTGCCAGGAGAACGCTAGATCCCTTGTATCAACAGCAGTTAGCTTTTCGAGAAAATTATCTAGGATGTATTTTGCAGGTGAGTTCATCAACTTCATTCAATTCATTGAACTGCATGAAAAGCGACTTCTTCAAAAATTCATTCTACGCAAAACCGATAAACAATAGGTATACATCACATTTTGAATAGGTGAAATGAAACGTGTTTAACCAGCACTTTACTATGTGTCTCTCTGTATTATATGTCTACTAGTGTAGTTACTCATACATATAGAATTTTCAAGCAAACTAGACAACCAATATAACACCCTTGATTTAATTCAGACTTGAAGTTTTATAGCAGATCGTAACAAATATAGAACAGCTTTGCCTTTTTAATTAAAAGCTTTCATTTAACTCGACTTGTATGTATGTTAACAAATCTTGCAAGTTTAATTGGACCCACTTCCCGGTATCCGATTGACCTGGTCCAGAACCGATGACAATGCATGTTAATCATAAACGTGACCTGATGCTGCTGCCAGGATCGGTTCGTACGACAGATCTCCTCAGTGGTAAATATCAGGGACACAAAATTTTGTATACGCATTCGTTTATGATAGGCAGTTGGTAGGCCCACCATGAAACAGATGCCAAAATATATTTCTAGAGAATAAAATCAAAATATGCTTTTACTTTCAAATACCTACTTCCCGACTCTAAATAGAAGACAGTATATGGTGTAGCAGGTTGTTAGAACCCATATTCATTTGCATTGTAATAAAATAATTACACAAGATAGTCTAATAGATTGTACTAAAAAAAATGATAATATAGATTCAAATAATATTATACCATCTGATATAAACAAGACTGGGGGGTTGCCTAAAGAGTTGGAAATATTTGTGGGGGCCAAGATGATGTTGCGATACAATGTTGATGTGTCTAAGGGTCTAGTGAGTGGTGTCATCGGTCATATAATAGAAATTATATGGCCCTGTTTCCGGAGAGCACAAATATATGACACGGACATTCCATCAGTCCGTATCGACTTCGGCAAAGATGGGATTCACGTTATTCAACCGAAATCTGTGCAGTTTCCAGCTAAATTCAGCCACGGTGCAGCTGAACGTATAATGTTGCCAATTGTTTTATGCTGGGCTTGTACAGTTTACAAAATGCACGGTAGTACGGTTGACCATGCTGTGGTATACTTGGGTTCAAAGTTGTTTGCTGCCGACCAAGCGTGCGTGGCTTTTACTAGGGTCACATCAATAGAAGGCCTCCTGATAGAAAAATTAGACTGTTCGAAATTAACTAGGACTCGGCCATGTAATAATGACCCCATAAATGAAATGAATAGACTGAGAAATATAACAAGCTAATTCTTCTTCAACCCTCCATAGGCCGTGCCATGGTCTGTGAAACCATATAAACAGTGTTTCATAGTTATTCTTCGGATCGCGCCAAATGCAAAGCTGCTCTTCGATTACCCTCCCCTAATAGGTACCTGAAACCACAGTAATAATAATAGTAACCTTTATTAACCATATGTGTATGAAATCTAACAACAAAGTAATAGTATGGTTAAAAGGAGCCCGATCAGTCAAGACTGGTCTTCCTCGGGAACCTGGGATACAAAATTAAAAAAAAATACCAAGATTAAAGAATAAAGATTTGAAAAGTCACAAAGATGAGTAGTTATATGATTACATGAACTTATATAATCAAACATTGCTCCTCAAAAAGTTTTTTCTATAGGTGATTACGAAACCTGACCACTGACATTGTTTTTAGATTTTCAGGGAGTAGGTTGTATGCTTTGATCAGATTAAGAGAAGGATTTTTCGAATTGTTTAGTGCGGTGATGGGGAATTGTGATTATTTTTTTCAGTGAGATAAGAAGGAGTTTTATTTATTATCACTTTATGTAATAGATATAGGCCATGAAGTTTCCACCGATTACTCATAGACAACCATTCCGTAGTAAGTGAGGTATGAGAGATTCTTTCGAACTTCCGGATGCCAAAAATAAGTTTTAGGCAGGAATTTTGCAGTTTTTGGATTCTAGATGTATCTCTTGCAGTCAGACAGGGCCCATGAACGAAATCGCAGTAGCTGGCTTGGGATAGTACCAGAGAGTTGCATAAAAGAGTTTTGAGTGACCTACTCATAATATGTCTATGACCATATGAAATTTTAAGTTTTGCGTAAGATTTCTGTAGTTTGAAAGATACATGATCGGAGAATTTTAACTTACTATCGATAAATTACCCAAGGTTTTTGGATATATCTTTCACAGTTAGTTGATTACCTTCTAATTGAATGTTTATATCAGGTAGATCAATAGGTCCAAATAATATAACAGACGATTTCGATGGGTTTATAATCAAGTTATGTTTCTTAGAAGTCTCTACAATTTGAAGTAGGTCTGTTGGGACTCTGCTAATGTGTTTGAATCGAAAAGGTAGTAAATTTGAGTGTCATCTGCGTACATATGGATTCGTGAGTACTTTAAAGAATTGGAAAAATAACATGTGTAGATAGTAAAGATCAGAGGACCGAGAATCGAACCTTGTGCTACTCCACGTGATATAGATCCATCGTCAGATGAAACTTCCTGTATGAGATCTTCCTGTGATATAGTTTCTGAAGAACTTGAGTGCTTGATTTTCTAAACCTATGAAGTGAAGTACCGAGAGCAGTATATCGTGATTAAGTGTGTCAAATTCTTTACTATAATCTAATAATACTAAAACACCGATCTTTTGTTTGTCTAATTACCTGAAGGGATCGTCCGTTATATTTAGGAGTGCTGTGCCGCAGCTATATCCTGGTCTGAATCCCGACTGTACTGGGGAAAGGATATTATATTTATCAAGGTGATCACGTAATTGTGTTTCAATGACCCTGTCTAATACCTTGGACATAGTTGGCAGGATGGTGATGGGTCTTAAATCATCAAGACTTGTAGGGGAATTGACTTTTGGGATAGGTTTTACAAGCCCCTCCTTCCAAAGTTTGGGGAATACCCCATTTATAACACAGTGGTTTACTAAGTGGGTTATGTACGATATGATAAAAGGACACATTAGCCGAATGAGGGTTATATTGATTTGGTCAGCCCCACATCCTCGTGTATTCACCTGCAATAAAATATGAACTACCCTCTCATCAGTGACTGGTTTAAAAATAAGTTTCTGTTCAAAATTAGTTTTAACATTGTTTCGGTAGAAATGAATGAGTTTTTCATCTGCTTTCGTAGAAGTATTTGTTATTTTCGAAAAATGATTATTAACTTCGTTTGCGGTCGTGTGGAAATCGATATTTTTATTTTTTCTTTTTCCCATTGTACAAAGATCTCCAAGAACTTTCCATTTTTTTAGAGGTTGCATTTTAGAGATAAACTTTCTTTTTTGTTTTCATAGCATTTGTTATGTAATTCCTGAGGTTTCTGTAGAATTCCCAGTGACCTTTGTTTTTAGTTGCTTTATATTGTATAAGTGCTTTGTTCCTAAGATGAATCATACACTTGATATTTTGGGTGATCCAGGGTTTGGGTGGCCGAGCAAATCTTGAAAGGTGCATGTTTATTAAATAATTTTAATATATTTTCATTCATTATACTTACTTTTTCATCAATATGGTTTTCCTCAATAATGGAATTTCAAGGCAGATTTTTGATGTCGTCTTCAAAGCTGACGATACTAAATTGAGAGAAATCACGAAACGTGTGTATGATTGGCGTTTTATTATCGCAGTGCATATCGATTGAACATTCAGTGATTAAATGATCAGAAATGTTGGCGTCGTAAACTCTGGTCCTGTTTGGTTGCAAGTCTTCGTTTAGAATAATGACATCTATCAATGAGATTGAATTGGAGTTGATATAAGTAGGTTCTTGTATTATCTGTTTGAGTCCGATTCCCTCTAAGGTGTTGGTAAAGTTTTCGGACGTATTATTGGAGTTCATTAAGTTGATATTTAAGTTACCGAGGCAAATAATATCACTGTTAGCAAGCATGATTTCAGATATTGTGTTTTCGAAATCGTCTACAAACGTATTAGCGTCAAGCTGAGGTGGCCGGTAAATCACTCCCATTGCTATTTTTTTGCTGCCAACCTGTATCGAAACCCAGAGTTGTTGGCATGTATGGTTAGACGTGTATTGACTAAGTATTTTTACATACAAGCATATACCACCAGCCCTTGTGGCTCTATCTTTGCGAAATATTTTGAAACCGGGTATATCGATATTGTCATCCAATATAGCGACAGTGAGCCAGGTCTCGGATAGACCTACAAAATCATAATTATAATCGAGTATCTAACGTTTAGATGAGCAATGTTTATTCTTCTAGACATTTTGAAAGGGATTTTTACATACATACGTTAAAAAATATCATTCAAAGAATTAAGATTGATTCCACCAAGACACAGAAAATACAGGCTGATTCACGGTGGATGGCACATTAGACGTTTCTGGTGAACCAGACAACGGATCACTTTGAAAATTTAATGGAGGGCATATTCGGAAGAATTGAAAGGAATAGATAAACAATCCTTTTTTCCCTTCTTTTCTTCCCTCTATCTTATTTTTTTTTTTCAGTTCAAATCTTCTTATCGACTTTGCTGCTTCGCGTTTATGGGCTGTAGTGAATCTTCGTCCTCTTTCTCTTCTGGGTATCCTTTATCTTTGGCTCGACAAATTTATTGTTTTCTTGTATTTGAAATCGAGGTGGCGGCAAGATCGATTCTTCCTCTGCAAGGTTATCTTCTGAGTCACTACTGTGCTGAGCTTTTTCTAGATTCAGCAGATCATCTACAGTGAATATGTGACCATCAACTTCTAGAGTGTCGCCTTTAATTGTAGCTATTTGGTTCTGCTGCTTGGCAGTTTTGAGATGAGGATGAGGATGCGTCATTAGCTATAGCGACTCCAGTGCCATTTAGTTTACGTATATTTCTGAATAAATTTTTTTTCAGATTTTTTCAGATACGAAATGAATTCAAAAACAACAGGAGATCTAGAAGAGTTTCTTTCGATTTGGTATATGTTGTTGATATCTTGTTCAATCAGATTTATGCCAAGCAGATTATTGAGAGCTTGAATTGTTTCTTGTAGCAGATTTACCTCATTCGCAATATCCAAGCCAAATATGACGATATTATTTCTTCGCACTTTTTTCTCCAAAATTTGGATTTTCTCCTCAATAGTTTCAATTTTTTTCACGTTTTCCGAGGCATAATTCTGAAGACGTAAGACTTTCACAGGTTTATCTTCATTGGTCATTCTCAACGACCGTGGCTGCTACTTCGGCTGCTTTCAAAATAGGTTGACAAAAAACGTTGTGTTTTTACTTCCACTAGGATAGTTTCGCTTGTCGTTGAACAGGCGAAATTGATCTTTAGCATAGATGATAATATATGATTGATTCTTTTCTACTTATGAGTGTTGTAACGGTGATATCTACTCACGTTTATATTAGCTCACAGCCTGTACAATATTGAAATCAACAGGCGAGTTCACGCCACAGAAAAAAAAATTCCACTGTTTAGGTCGTTTATTTTGGGAGCGACTTGTATCCCGATCACAGTTTAACTCGACACTCCAGCGGACCACTGCCAAGTGAGATGTTAGTGAGTTGTTTTTGACGATGAATCGGGTAATGAAGATATTGATGACATACAAATGGATGATGTAGAAGTTCATGACACAGACAGCGAGCAAGACATTTCTAAGGGCGGAAATGAAGATACAGAAACTGTCTCCACCTGTCAAAATGAAGGGGAACATACTATCCGCAACCGTTTGTGCTATAAAGGTCAAGGTAAGTAATTATAGTACACCTGAAAAATTAACTTATCCGTAGGGAAAAAAGACAACTCCTATTGGAAAAAACATCCACCCACCACAAAAGGAGTCCGCATGAGGCGATAAAATATCATTAGAAAGTTGCCATCACCAACAGCAGAAACTAAGAATTTGAAGTCGCCAGTCGACGTATGGTCATACTTTGTGAATGAAGAAATAATTGATATCATAGTTACCTCAATTAACAAGTATATTACGTCAGTCGCAAACAATTTAAGTAGAGAGCGGGATGCACATACTACGGACGAGACAGAAATTAGAGCATTATTTGGACTTCTTTATTTAGACCCCATTGGACTCATCAACACAACATCGAGTGGTACCAAGCTGAGATCTTGCACAGAGAGGAACATTGGTTTAGAAGAAAATTCAAGGAAGCCGCATACATGTTGTCCAACAACGTATTCAGCCAAGCCAGCGTAGAAATACGCAACATATGGAAATCCATCATCAAGCGGAAAATGGCGAACTCCCGCCAAACGGTCATCTCCCGCGGAACCAGTGAAGTGGAAAATGGAAAGCGGGGATAAGTGAAAGTACTCGAACGACCTATAGTCATCTCTCGGAGGTATCAGTCCAGTCATCACCCGAAGACGATTGTAGATACTAACAATCGAAACGTCGTGAACTAACGTGACTTGGAATCTCTCAACTTTTTATTTTTATTTTCTTTTTTCATTTCTTTATTTTTATTTATATTTTGTTCAATTGTTCTATTTTACTTGTGTTTTATTTCAGTATTAATTCATTTCAGGTATATTTTTCTTAATATAATTGTTATTCTCAGCTATTCATTTTTTAATTCTTCTTTTTAGTTGTTTCAGGGATTTCAAATCATTTCATATAGTAGACAATAGAAGTCCGAACCAGTGAAATTCATCATGAAACATTGTCAACCACCTTCAAACATTCTATTATTCTATAATGAAACAACTCACCTGAAAATGGTATATTATGCCCTCATATATGCAATTGTCACATGGGGAGATGTGACTAATAACCTTGTCAAATTAGTAGAAACGATCCAGAAATAAATAATGACAATCATGCACCAAAAAATGTTACGTTCTCAAATGACATTGTTTACTGAGAATCCAAATTTACGTCAATAAATAGGAAAAGCACAATCATTCATTTGAAACTAAACGTAATGAAGAATTCCTTAAAGTCTCATAATAAAAAACCATTGGATTGAGATGTCACATGTTTTTGGGCTCTAGACTGTATACCAATTTTCTCGTCATCATTAGATCTTCAAATTCAATTCATGTCTTTCGAAAACATCTGAAAAAATATATACGTGATGAACCAAGACGTGATATACATAAATTTATTGACATAAGAAATCATGAAAGTACTGAAAATAAAATAAATGGTATTCACCATCAAAACTTTAGAAAATACAAGAAAAATGTTATTTCATTATTATTGAGTACTCCCTTCGAATACACATATCATTTGAAATAAAGGAACTC